TTTCTTTCATTGCGTTATTGCTTTCTTTTACTTCCATTGCTTGAGCTTCCTTCTTTCCTTAGAGGAGTGAAACTCTTCCACTTTTCTAGAACTTTACCCAAGCCGTGTAGGGTGGAACGTGATTCACTCATTCTTTGTCGAAGATCGGCTCCTTGTGTAAAGTGTTTTACCTTATAACTCCTTTACTTAGAGGGATGAGCATCACTCACTTTTCTAACTTTAACAAAGTCATGAAGAGTGAATAGTTTCTCATCCAATCTTTAGTAAGAGGTAATTATCCGAAAGTTATATTTATGCATTTCATTTATGCTTAACTCTAGTCTTTATTTCTTCATAATGTCTTCTCATCATATTGTTGTCGTTATTTTAAACATGAATAGTTAAATCTCTTAGTTGGCAAAACCAAGGGGAACCTCCACTTGGGTATACCATTTTCAACTCATTTTCCTCCCTTCTTTCAGAGTTCAATGGTTCGGTTTGACTAGGTTGAAGGTGGATAACTTGGTGAGTCTTTGATATTTCGTGGGCCTAGTCACGATTTATGCTTAGATACTCACCAATCTTATCCCTAGCTTCCCACGAATCAATCGTTCATTCATGCTCTATTAGAGGAGGGTTTCGAGTTGAGAAGGTATTCCTATTGGAGTGACCTCTTGGATTTGCCAACATTTGTTTCTCATTTTACTAGCATCAAAATAATTTTCAACAATAAAAGATTTTACACTTTCTTTCTCTCAAAATCACCTTCCCCTCGGTTTACTTCCTTCCCGGTGAAAATGACCTTGGAATACCACCAAGTAAAACACTATCCATGAAAGTCTCCTTGTGCTTGGGGAGCATTATTTTTTACACACAAACACATTTGACATTTCATTCATCCACGATGTCGTTGCCCTTTCGTTTGACATCATTCTNACTCATTCTTTGTCGAAGATCGGCTCCTTGTGTAAAGTGTTTTACCTTATAACTCCTTTACTTAGAGGGATGAGCATCACTCACTTTTCTAACTTTAACAAAGTCATGAAGAGTGAATAGTTTCTCATCCAATCTTTAGTAAGAGGTAATTATCCGAAAGTTATATTTATGCATTTCATTTATGCTTAACTCTAGTCTTTATTTCTTCATAATGTCTTCTCATCATATTGTTGTCGTTATTTTAAACATGAATAGTTAAATCTCTTAGTTGGCAAAACCAAGGGGAACCTCCACTTGGGTATACCATTTTCAACTCATTTTCCTCCCTTCTTTCAGAGTTCAATGGTTCGGTTTGACTAGGTTGAAGGTGGATAACTTGGTGAGTCTTTGATATTTCGTGGGTCTAGTCACGATTTATGCTTAGATACTCACCAATCTTATCCCTAGCTTCCCACGAATCAATCGTTCATTCATGCTCTATTAGAGGAGGGTTTCGAGTTGAGAAGGTATTCCTATTGGAGTGACCTCTTGGATTTGCCAACATTTGTTTCTCATTTTACTAGCATCAAAATAATTTTCAACAATAAAAGATTTTACACTTTCTTTCTCTCAAAATCACCTTCCCCTCGGTTTACTTCCTTCCCGGTGAAAATGACCTTGGAATACCACCAAGTAAAACACTATCCATGAAAGTCTCCTTGTGCTTGGGGAGCATTATTTTTTACACACAAACACATTTGACATTTCATTCATCCACGATGTCGTTGCCCTTTCGTTTGACATCATTCTAAGGAGAGTGACACTCCCCTTCATCCATATATTATACATGCTAAAAGGTGATGTTTAGAGGTTAGGAAACAACAAGGAATTTTCTCAAGCACACCACCACCACACCAATACCACCCCCACTACCACTGCCATTGCCACCACCACCACCGTCGCCGCCACTAACCCCACCACCACTATTGTCTCCACCATCACTATCGTCGCCGTAACCACCGCCACCATTGTCCCCATCACCATAGTCGCCGCTGCCACCACTACCACCACCGTCCCAACCACTGCCACCACTACCACTATTGCCGCCCCACCACCGCCACTGTCGTCGCCACCACCACCATCACTACCGCCGCCGCCACTATCACTACTACCATCATCATCGCCGCCGCCACAGTCATTACCACCCACCACAACTATCACCGTCTCCTACTAGCACCGTTGCCGTCCACCATCTCTCACCCCCACTACAAATCGATGCTTAAATTCTTTTATCTCTTTTCTATGTTTGTGATTTGATTTTAGATATAAATACAAATATGTTTATTGTGTTATCATTTTTTATTATTTTGTGCCTTCAGGCACAAGTAATAATAACTAGTATATAATAAAGTATAATACAATTTAAATCTGAAAAGATAAATAAAATAACTTTTACTTTTCAAAATTCAGATTTATCTAAATTTGTTCAGATCTGATCCAACGGTTGGCATTAGCTCTAGGAACCCAAATTTCTCTCTCATAGTCTCCTTTAAATATTTGACTCGCTCTCTCTCTTACGTCATAAGGAAGAGCTCTCTCTCCCCTCCCTTTCTCTCTCTTCCTCTCCTCTCTCTCTCCCGAGAACCAGCAGATTCGGTGACATCTTCAGGCAACTCCAGATACTCCGGCGAGTTCAATGTATGTTCTCTCTTTCTCTCACTCTCTCTGCTCCAAGCTTTTCATCTCTCTCTCTCTCTCTCCTCGGCGAAATTAGACAAATTCGACAACTCAACTTAGACAGTTTTAGCCCTAAATCAACGAAACCTCTTCAGTATTCTCTTCTCCATTGAAATCAGGCTAGGCAACCCGTCTCTCCCTTCTCCTTGCTTCTGTTAATCTGTAAGTCCTCTCTCTCTCTCTCTCCTTTTTCACTACTCAATCTCTCTCTAACGATCTTATTTTTTAGGGCAATTTTAGCCCTAAATCAATGATCAGCGACTAGCGTGGCATGCCTCCCTCTATCTCTCTCTCCCCCTCTCACTATGTTCCTTTGTTCTCCCGACTCCACCACCTCCTATGTCCACCTTCCCTACTGTTCAGCTACCCCTATCACATAACCAAGAGGCATCGACATGGGATCGCACAGCCCCAACTCCTCAATTGCTCGATGAAATCACGTAAGCTCATCAACTGCTCAATGAAAGTTCTCACTTGAATAATACACATAAATGTTATAGTGCTTTGTTTGGATTTGACTCCGTTGGATTTAATTCTATGTTGTTGAGATTTTGATGATGTTCAAATTTATGAGATTTTGATGCTTCATAACATGTTTAGTTCTTTCACATTATGGTTTCAGTGGAGATGGTTATGGTGGGTGGAGTTTCATGGGTCAAAGGTTGGGTTCCAAAACCTTTTAATTTAAGAGAGGTGTTTTTTGTCCTTCGGAGGTTGCTTGGTGTTTAGGTTTATCGTGTTGATTTTGGGAAAAATAAAATTGAGTTGGTAACAAGTGAATTGGGGTGCGAATGGATATGTAAATAATCACCCATTTTTATGCCATAACCTCAACACTTTCACCCTCTGTTTTTTCACAAACATGCACACATTGACTCACAAACTTCATACTCTGTTTTTCACAAACATGCACACACTGACTCACTAACTTCATGAATGTGTAAGCCTCTGTTGGTGTCTTGAAAGTGTTCTATTTTTTTTTATTTTTTGTTGGTATTAAGATACCTTTTGAAAATATTATGCGCATCACCGGTTAAATATGGTTTATGCAAATTTTAGACCTTTCCTGTTGTCATATATTTTTTGTTTGTTAATGCATGCTTTGTTTTCCTTAATAAATACATCTTAATTCGAACGAATATTTTGTAGTTTGGACTGCTTTATTACATTTGGGCTTTTGTATATTGTTTGTTTAAAGAGTTGAAGACTTCTTGGATCTTTAATGTATTTTACTAATGTTAACCATGATATGTTTGCGTTGAAATTCCATAAGGAGTACATTTTAATTGCTGTCAATAATTCTTTTGTTAAGTCATTGAGCAAAAGATTTCCCCATTGTTGCTCAGAGCATGGTTTTGATTAATGCTGAAAATGTAGGTGATCTCCCTAGCAGATTGTTAAAGCGAGGTTCAGGGTAGTTTATATTACTAATAAGTCATGTATATCCTCTATTTGTTTTGGTGCATTGAAGGCTTTTTTAGATTATTGTTCGAAATTAAAATATTTGTGCATGGTGTAAGATTCAACAATCTCTGATCTGTTATGGCATATCGAATGGGGAAAATGAAACGATTTTATTGTTCGATTATTGTGGCGTATCAAGTGGTGCTTTTTCTATTTTCTTTGGTAATGCTCATTTTTTTTACTTGATTTTTTTTTCCGTCCAACAATGCCTTTAAGCACGGGTAATAACTAATACTTAGATATAACATGAATCACAATCAAGTTGTCCAATTTTACATCATGCACAAGATATTCGAAGGTTGGGTAGGGTTTCAGGAGATACCATACCGTAAAATAAAGGAGTAATAAAAATTAAAAAAAGTGTATATGTGGTATATTTTTATTTGTCAAAAATTAAAATATGGTACCAAACCAGAACTCTTCTCTCTAAGGTTTAGTGGAAAGAAACTTATCCAAATCTAAATCGGTAAAGGTGTCTTCGAAGAACCTTCACTCTACTTTTTTTTCAAACCAATTCTCAATTTCTTCTTTTAAAAAGATATGCTTTTAACAAACTCTACAAAAATCTAGGAGATTCATGTTTGTATTTTCTCTTTTCTCGGTTCTTCTCTACCATAAATGGTAGAAGTAAGAGAAAAAAAGGGGTGGGGGGTGTTTGAAAGAGGACAATGAACATATAGGCAAAGGGAAATGGATTTTAGTGGTAGTTAAGATCTCAAATCCAGACAGTTTTAAAAAACTCAGTTCAATTCAGACGATGAAATTAGGATAGAATAGTGATGTTTTTAAAAGATTTGTGTTTGTTATTTGTGTCAAAGGTGGGTGCCATGTAGAAGTGTCAGTCAACTTAAGTGATTAAAAAAATCAATTTGCCTGACGTGACTGACGTTGCCCAAGTGCAGGGTATGGTAAAAAGCTCTTTCTGTTTTCCTTGGGAACAAGTGAGTGGGACTTCAAATACTCATACAGATTACTCTAGGCATTCCATTCACAAGACAATGGCAATCAACGTGCTCATTATTTTCATATTATTGCACTCCTTCCCCTCTGTGATCTTTTCTATACAGGTCTCATCCTTTATCAAGCCCCAACTACCATCCAATGCTACAGCACCAGAGTCGTTTGCTTTCGACTTTCACGGCGGAGGACCCTACACTGGCATCTCCGATGGTAGAATTGTCAAATATGAAGGTTCCTACGATGGTTTTGTGGATTTTGCCTTCACTGCATCGACTAGGTGATATTATCATATGCTAAAACATTCAACTCAAAATCAATTGAAATGTAATTTATGTTATTATCGATGTAGCCTGTGGGAAAGTACTCAGTAACACGTACAAATGAATTAATAAAACTTATCTTTTTGATCAGGTCCAAGGCATTGTGTGATGGCATTACTAATCTTACCTTGTCACCAATCTGTGGTTTGCCATTGGGTTTGAGTTTCAACTATGTTACTCGAAACCTTTATGCTGTTGATCCATTTATTGGACTCACAGTAGTGGGACCTCATGGAGGGCTTGCAACTACACTGGCCACTTCTGCAGACGGAGTTCCCTTCAGTTTTCTCGTCGGCGTGGACACTGACCCTCTCACTGGCATCGTTTATTTTACAGATGCCAGTGCAATTTATGGGCCAAGGTCTGTTCGTCTTCTTCTTTTATTTTCTTTCACAGGTTATTTATTCATACAAGATTAAACTTAGCTTTTGGCGCAACGGTAGTGAGACAAAAAGAAATCACCGTTTCCTGATAGATAGAACACTCACACAAGCATAAATGCACCTAATATTGCTTTGTCATTTCTCACTACTAAAAGCAACCTTGCAGTAATGTGACAGAATCCATTCGAAGTGGCGACTCAACTGCAAGATTATTGAAATATGACCCCATATAACCGAAGAAGTAACTGTATTGCTAAGAAACCTCTCAGGAGCTGTTGGAACAGCAGCCAGCGGCGATGGCACCTTCGCCCTTGTTTCCGAATTCATTGGGAAAAGAATCCAAAAGTATTGGCTCGAAGGTCCAAAAGCAAACATTGCTGAAACGTTCATGACCTTCGATGGAAACCCTAACAAAATTAAACGGAACCCATTAGGAGATTTTTGGGTGGCTGTGAACTACCAAACATATGATTCTACTCCAGTTGCTGCCCCTGTAGGGCTAAGGATTATTACTTCTGGCAAAGTGATCGAAACTGTGGATCTGAGTGATGAGTACAATCAGAGAATCACTACTGTTCAACAACAACTTGGATCCTTATATATTGGAACCCGCTTTGCTAATTTTGTTGGTGTGTACAAGATATAATTAAGAAGCTTCTGAATGGCAGTTGAATGTTTTCTTAGACTCCTGTAATGGCAACTAAATCTTATTAACTTCTACGAAATATAAGTTTAGTTGCTACATGAAAGATTCTGTTGTGAGTGTAATTGTACATCAGCCCTTTTATTTCACCGTGGAAAACAGGATTGTGTGAAACGTCAATCCAATCTCATGTTATAGAAGTTTCGATCAGAGTTCACCCTACTTTAACCTGAGGATTGTTCAAGCTTAAATTTTTAAATTGGCGTGACACAACTCAAATGCAAATTCGGGCTTATGTCAGGTTCAATTCTTAGAGGTTGAAATTTGAATTTAAATCGTGTTAAAATTGAGTCCAATTCCAATGCGTTTACCGAGTGCACGACTCAAAATGAAATTCGGGTTAAATCCTAAAAATCTTACACTCAACATTTATAATGTACAATTTTATACCAGATTGAGATTTTTTACCCAAACTTAACTCTGGGTGCTGTGCTAAAATACTTTTTCAAGGGTGGGCTCAGTTTGAGAGTCCACTGTGCATACATGATTGCATAGGAAGTTCTTTTTAATACGATGCCATTGACCACAATACAATAATACCAGTGTGGTACCGAATTTGTGTTTTGTTTAAGAGGTAAAACGACACTTATTCTAATTTTCATTTCATTTGCAATGTATCTTATGGCGTACAACATTTAATTTCATGCCACTGTAGATCACTCACTATATATAGATAAAAGACCCACTCCAAAGTAGTAAATTCCATTTCAAAATAGGTAATTTACGGTTCAATGAATTAAGTAATAATTTATTGAAATTCTGGGTAAGTCTAGACCTTAATCCTTTGTGAGTGTCTCAGTGAAATCGGTTGTTATGATAGAATCGTTCGATATTATAAGCAATTTCAAGTTTTCCCCTAGAAATGTAAACTCAATTTATGGCGACAACGCAAATTTTTGTATGCGTAATTACCCACAAATCAACCGCATCAAATAAACTCAAGTTTTATTTGCTAAGACTCAGATTCAAGCCATGCGAATTTACACCTTGCACCTTATTCAACAACTAAACCTGCTCATGCCAAGAAAGTAATTTCACTTCCATAGCTGTCTCATCAATGCTCCATATGAAGAAAAAAGTCCTCGATGTCCTTTACATGGGGTATTTGTATATGTAAAAGATGATATAGAAATTCTTGAGTTTTCCATGTTTTCATATTGCAGTACTTATATATAATCTCTAAATTTTATGTGTTGTATCCTAAACACACCTCCCAAACTGAAATTAACATGAATTTGAATCTTCAGATCATATTGCGCTTGTGTGTGCATGGCCTGTGCCGCGAGTTTCATTCAAAGTACATAAAATTTCTTAAAGTATGCACTAATTTTCTATTACTTCCAGTCTTGGCATCAGTGAAAACAAACAAACAAAAAAGTCATGTAAACGGCAAACCAATCCAGTTAGATCACATGGGAGAAATATGGAAGGCTTCTTACATGGCTGCAAAAGCTGAGGTTCACATAGTCTTTGTATCAGCTATAAATTCTTCAAGTTCTTCCAGAGCTGCATTGAACAAACCTACAAAATAGCAGCATTTCACAAAACAAGTAAGATTTATCGTCTTTTTAAATCCAATCAACTTGAAAGAACATTAAAAAGACAAGAAAATTGCCAACTATTCCATAGTGGTTACCATTGCCGTGATTTATTCCACAGAAATCTCCATTCACTAAGTGCATCCTCTCTGTTCTAATCCGTTCAGTCTGCTCTACCCTTTTGGTCTTGACCTTCTCCAGTTTTGTACGAAATTCTGAAGCAGTTTTTACCAACTCTGGGATGGAAAAACACATTTAGAGGTCCATCGTCACGAAACTTGAGCATATCTTGACCCATGAAAACTTGTACATCTAAAGAAGTCAGAAAGTCCTGCAGACTGACCCAGAAAACTGTGTTTCCAGTGGTTCTCAAAATAATATAGCCAGAAATATTCCAAAGTTACCGACAGAAGGTATGGAAAATGAGCATTAAGAGAAAATAAACCAGAGTAGGTATAGTGCTTTAGAAAGTTCCGATGAATCAAGTCACAAACTTGGTTGAATTGGATATGACCTGAAGTTTGAACTAAAACTAAATCATCAAGATACTTCCAAATCATAACAAAGATATATGAAGTCTTATGTTCATAAAAGGTCAATGCTATTTAGGAGTCAATTCAGACAAGAGATTAATCCAAGAAAACTAAGAGACTCCACAACACATTTTTGAGAATTAGAACCCTTATAGAGACAAGATATCCTTAAGCTGCTTATTATTTAAAATGATGAAGAGGACAATGCCAAAAAAAGAAAGAAAATGAAACACACTTCTTTCCTACATTTCAGAGTTCGGTAAGAACAAAATACTGCATTCAGTATATAACATAAACAATCAAAATGGCCGCAGCCTGGGGTGGGTGAGAGGTGGTCTGGTCCTTCCAAGTCTTTAAGCATGCTGCATACACATGCACACACTAATAAATCCTAATATTATGTGATTGCGAATCCCTGCAGTTTGGTCCACATTAATCGAGAAAGCTAGGAAGGATGGGATGGACTGTGCATAGACCCAGCATAAACATTATTTGCACAAGGAGGTAATCTTCATTTTCAAACCAACAACTAGACCTGTTAACAGCTCCACTATATATCGCATTTTGCTATATCTAAATCTGAACCCAATTAAAATTAAATTAATCTAATCCAATACAAGTATCCGATGGATATGAAAAAATCAACCATTTCCCCACAATCGATCTGATCCAATAATTCGCCCTCACACTTCTACAACCCATCTCATATATTAGAACACAATATATCAATTTCAGCAATAGCATACAAATTCACAAAAGATCCAAGTAATTTCAACTCAATTTGGGCTCTATCTCACCCATTACTTTCAAATTTAGCCTTAATTTAACCTCCTATTCATTGAAAAATCCCAATTTGAATCAGAAATTACAAGAGTAGATTAATACCGAGAAACCAAGAGAAAGGGAAGGAGAAAGGCAAAAACCAGATTGTATCCAACAAAGTTCATGACCATTCCATTTACTAGGATATGAACCCGTGGAAAGAATTCGCCCTTGAAAACAGACTTGCAAGGAGAGTGTCCAAGCATTATATACACACATCTAACCCCATACTTAACAAATGTGGGATCATAACCTTGCACCACCTTCCCTAACTGACATCTATGGCAGCCTATCCATCGACACGGACCTAATAGTAACCCTTTTCTTCTGACTCCACTCACCTATTAGTATTCAATAGCTTAGTATTATGCTCATATATAATACAAAGATAATCTAGCCCATAGGTAGGTTGCACGACATGGAGGCTAGCTCTAATACTAATTGATATAAACTCATGGGTAGAACTCACCATTAAAAACCAGACTTATAAGGGAAGAGAGCCCAAGAATTCATATACACACGTCTAAACTTACACTTAACCGATACGGGATCGTAACAGAGTAGAACTATCAATACTGAAAATTTTGTGTATAAACCACATTCCCAGAACAATGTACAGCTCAGGTAACTCAATTTTTTCGGGAAAAAAAATCCACAAAATTTGTGAAGAAACCGCAAAATTTATATAAGGACGACAACTATGAAATCGAATGTAGAAATGGGTAGCCAAAACTAGGACCATGTTTCTGGAGAAGAAAAAGGAGATCTCTTCATAGGTAGGACAAAGATAGAGAGAAAGAGAGGAATAACGAATATAAAAATATAGAGGAACAAGACTTCGGAGAAGAAGAGGAAGATGGACAATTAGAGAGAGAAAGAGGGAGAAAATAGGTCTACTAACAGTGATTGAGAAGAAAAATGGTTTGGATGTTTGAACAGCATAAAATAATTTTAGGTTAACAATCAACAGTTAGAATTGATTTCTAAAAAATATATGGACTAGATCAAAACCCACATTTAATTCTATATTAGGGTCCGTTCATAATAAGATCAAATATTGGTATATACATATCTGATCCGTGAAAAGATGTCAATGAATTCGGATTTGGTTTAGATTATCGGTAAAAACAAATATCAACCAATGTCCGATTATTCAAATTCGGATCAGATTCAAATTGAAGTGCAATATGTTGAAAAGCCTACACACAACCCACAGTTACTAGCCTGATACTTTTGCCTCTTCACCACCATGGCACCAAGATCCCTCCATATGGCAAAGTGCGGAAAATATTGACAGGGTATCAGTAAGTTGTCAGGTGGCTTAGTGTTTGTGACATGTAGTTAACTATCAATACAAGGGAAAACAAAACATAATATGTGATTTCTTAGAATGGTACAGAAGGAAATGATTATGACAAGAACCCAGGACAGTTCCAGTGACCATTTTGAGACACATGTCCTCTAATGTCTTTACTACTCCACCCGAAAAATAAAATCTTGTTTTCTTTGAACAAAGATTCCATGCTCAGCACAAGCTATTCAGTTGCAGTCACTTGCCACACCACGTTTAAAGTTAAAGAAGTATTTAATAGCTTCTCAATTACCTTGGAACATGTCATGAGATAATTGTTCCTCATATAGTTTCAGTGCTTCATTAGTAGACCCAGTACAACGATTGCTTAAAACAGATTGCCTTTCCAATGATTGAAGCTCTCTGTTCAGCTCTGCAGACTCCTTTCCAACCTGCACAAAAAAATTACAATTGATGTGTGACATAAAGAATCACCCAACAAACACACATTAGTTCTTGCAGTTTGCAGGATCTTTATTACCAAAGTGAGTTTCTCTCTCAGTGAATCCAACTGCGCATCCAGCTCTGTATCACCAAGAGCATCAAGATCCATTGAGCAGTCACCAGATGATTCATTCTGGAGAAACATTTTTAAAGGACATTTCACCATTAGATATAACAAATATAATAAGAAACAAAGCGAGGAACTATTAAAGTCCCCCACTAATTGTTAACATGAGCAAATTTTTTAATGGGCAAAAAACTAAAAGTCAGTGCATATCATTTGAAATTATCTAATATGGTGATTGCTAGCAAACCATGATATATAATCCAAGCTATCTTTCAATTAAAATAGTTTTTCAGCACTTTATTTTATGCCACTTAAACTATCAAACATCGCCATACTTTACCTACATTGTAGTCCCTTCTTTTTGGCAAATCACTAATTTATGTTCCTTTCATCCGCAAGAATTTTGCATTTTTTCATAATCAAGTCTTTAAATTCCAGCAATTCTCCTACTTTCCTGTCAAAGGTGCAAGTCTTTTGGCATGATTGAAATGAAGATCTTCACTTGAAATCACTTCATCAGACTTGACACACATTAGTTATTTGGATAAAGCTCTCTTGCAAGGAGAATAGAGTCTAAATTACTTCAGCAGAGCACTCACATGAGAAGTAGTAGCTAGAACCCCTCAAAACGGCATAAAACTCTCTCTCATCTGTTCATTCAATAGAACATAAGACCCAAGCCCATTGTCAAACCATAGGTCTAAAGATCAAGAGTCTTAATCAACTTCCTCGAATGATAATATTCAGACATTCTAAGGCCTTATCAACAATCCGAGGAAAACTCAATTTTGTGAAATGACGAAAAAGAAAAGTCTACTAGGAAAGCCATTCCATCGCATTTTTTTTTTTTTTTAATTCAGCAAGTAAGCCATTCCATCGTTGTACAGGGAAAACCAATAGAATGGACTCATTGTCATATATCATATATCATATATGTCAGCTAAATCAAGGGAGTCTTTGATCAACACACTGTTTTGAGGTACTACACTCTACAAGAGCTTGTAACTTGAACCCTTGAGGTGTTACATACACCATTTTATTTTTCATTGCTGATTCTATGTTCACATAATCAATGGTTTACTCTTTAAGTGATGCCCTGAAGAATGTCATGCTTAGCAGCAATATAAGCTTGTGGCCTTGCCTTTACAACGGCTCAGTGTCAACTAATTTTGATGGCAATCAAATATTTTATAGTCCCCAAAAAAAATCATTGAAATACTATTAAATAATCTAGGACAGTGGTTTCACTCCAGCAACTTATTTAGAAATTATGAAATAAATAACTTGGCCAATAAGTCGGGACAAACACGTTTTACATAAAAATATTGGGTTGTTTACCAATAAATTGAGAGAAATCAATGTTGCCTAGAACACAAGTACATGGTACGAGTACGGGTATGCAATACGATATTTTTTCAATAGGCGTTGCAATGGAGGTAGGCATAGTTGGTATGTTGTTTGGGATGTGGTTCACTTTGTGAGTCTTATTGGGATCATTTTCATTATAATATAAAATCATACATAATAATACATCATACATACATAGTTAACTTATATTTGTTCTATATTCCTAATAAGAGTTCCAAGTGAACCATAATCCAAGTCAACGTACCAACCAATGATTGGAAATAATAAAAACTAGTGGTTGCAGATTATAGAAAAATTTAAATCACAACACATCAAATTATAAGTTTAGAGGTCACCAGAATAAAAAAATAATAAATTACAGTTACAATGTGGGATTAGGGTAAAAATTTAGGTTTACGTGGATCGTGGATGGATTTGGAAATTGTATTACAATTTGGAGTCAAAAATTTTAACGATATGGATTGCGAACCAACTCCGTTTCAAGTCATGCGACCCCAGTTCGTGGGACGCTTTGGAATACGCCATCCCGGTATCAATGAGACAAATCACCCAAAGCATCTTTATTCAAATAAACTATAGTATTTCAAAATACTTTTAGTTCACAAACGTCTACCTGAAGCACTACAAATTCGTGGACTTCATTCAATAATTTGCTAAAATATTAAAAACACTATTCTACCTAATTGGGGAGAGCAATTTCAACAAGTAGGTTCATACAAAAATATCACACATCATATTACATGAATCTAAAAGGAATTGCATTACTATTTCAAAGTACATATAATGACCTCCAAAAGAGATCAGATCAGCTAATAATAAAATAAGAATACTCAAAAAATTTAGGAATTAATAGAATATAGAGAACAAACCAAAGAAATCAGATTTCTAAACAACATAATTGAGATAACGTACAGCTTTGGGTAGCGAAAATCCATCAGGAACACCAAAACAGTGCCGCAGACAATACTTCTCCCACATAGTCAATCGCTTATCCATATCAGATTGGATCATGTTTTGAATATAGGCTACACCCTAATAACCAAATAACAATCACAAAGTTCAATATGCATACAAATTGCATGCCTTTTAGGTACTGTTTAATGTCTAAACAAAATGAAATCATTATATTTCTTCCCTAATAAGCCAGAAACTTTCAAAAAAGGAAAAAAAATGGTTTCAGTGTATTTGATCATAGAATGGCAGCCTTAATGAACGATGTTACTTGCAACCCTAAAAAGTATAAGAAAACATGTTACGATGAATTATAAGCTAATTAAGTGAAACTAAAGATAGAAAAAAAATATGAAATAAAATAAACTAAAAAGAATAGTTGAAAGCTTTTTACTTTTCTCAGGTATTCGGCCCGATCCGTGCCCTCTGTTTTCAGTAGTGTTGATGCCTGTCTATACCACAGCATCAGCAGATCATAATTTAGAAATTTCAAAGAAAATTGAAATAATGAAAAGTACACGCACAAAAATATACATATATGCGTGTGTTTGGATAGCTGGAGAGAGAGAGAGTTACTGGTGGAAGAATTCGAAAGCTTCATCGACCAAGTCATCGACGCAATTGAGGACTTCGTTGATGAAAAGTTGGGGTTTCAGGTTTAGGGAATCGAAAATCGTTTCGCTTCCACTGCCCTCCATCTTCAGAATGGTTACCCCTTTGAAGTGTGGTAGAGAGAGAGAGAGAGAGAGAGAGAGTATTTTGAGAGTTCGAATGGAAGAATTTGGTTTCCCGCCAAATGATTTAGATTCTGGAAATGGAATCGCATTTGAAAGAGGACTTTGAGCCTGAAAAGTGAAAACGATAGCATTATTCTAAGTATTTGAGTTCCGAAAGGCTAGATCCAAAGGCCAGTCATCAATCACCACTAGCCAACACCATTGACGCGGATCTGAATCTCCTCTAATATATATTTTTTTAATTTTTTTTATTCAATTATTTATCATTAATTAAGGGAGACTTACTTATATATAATGAGTTATGTTTTAAATTGATGATAAATAGTCTGTCAAAAAAACATTAAAGAGCAAATATATTACAAGAATCTCACTCTACCATAATCGATTATAAAATATCATATTTTCTTATAAATCTCACTATTTTTAATAATTATTAAAAAAGTAACATTCTATAACCATAAAATTAGGTTAAATGGCTTTTCACTAGTCCTATTAAATTTGTATTATTAATTAATAAATATTATGTGTTAATTATAATGTGATATCACAATTATATTATAATATTTGTTCCTAAAAAATTATCCTACAGTGGCATTGCATAAGGGAGAAGGTTGTGAAGTTAGCCTTGTTATTCACATCTCCGATCTAGAGGACTTACCAACTTGGGCTTTTATGAGCATTGACCGGTTCTAGAGTGCCTGCCAAAGACACTAGCGCATACTTTCGGGGATCATCACCACCTACACCTCATATCTTGACAAAGTAAAACGTGTAATCCGCTTGTTGTTACGTTCAACTATATTTGTTCTTGTAATTCATAGGCTAATAGAGCATAGTAACAAATGACAGCCCACCTATACACCCAACAGGGAGGATAGCATTACTAGCAAAGACCGTCTAGAGAAAATGCCACAGGTGTGAAGCGTGGTAAGCTTATGTTGGGAGAGCACATCATAGAGAGGAAAGAGAGCCCAGACACTGGGAGAGTCGGAGGAGGAGGGTTCATTAGACATAAATGGAAGGCTTTTTTCATATGAGTTAATTGCAATTTTTAACACAATTCACTATCTCAATATGACGTTATTAAATATGAATATATTATTAATAATTGTAGATTGTCACTTTGAGTGATATTTATAAAATTCATCTTAAATCACATATTAAGTTAGAATAATATTATTTTTTATTGGTATATATTTTATAATATAAAATATGACAATCTTCAATAATCTTTTGGACAGTTTCAAATAGACCGCACTAATATTTTTTTCAAAAATTTATAATTAAAAAAATTTAAAGTAATTTTTTTTAAAATTAATTGATTAGTTTATGTTTTACGGTGCCTTCAAATCCGGGTTAGCGGTTGTTAATAGTGATCTTTCTGGCCATTTCCTAGATATTTAATTCATATTCTAAATCGGCCCCAAAAACACTTCCAATGTCACAAAACGAGTCCGGCTGAGGATATCCTCACAGTGGGAAGCCAATTTCGGGGTGGATGTATCGAAGGCTCTTCACTATGACGAAGAGCTCTTCCTCTTCTTCCTCCATTCAAACTCTGTACGAGCTCTGCAAGAAGACCTTCGCTCCTTCGGGAACACTCCCACCTTCTTCTCAAGCTATTCACAAACTCTGTTCGTTACTTGGTACTTTCTACGATCTTCTTTCCTCAATTCCCGTTGTTTTCCTATGTAAATTATTCATATACTTCTGTAATTATCTAACTCAATCTTCATAGGGGTTTTGTTTATCGAATGGAATTCATTATGGGTTTGTTTTGTTTTGGTGAATTTGATTAATTGAAGTGCAGATTGTAAATTGATGGTCTTGCATAAGATTTCAAGTGAGATACTGTTTATCCTTGTGGAGAATATGTTGTAATAACAAGTAAGAAGATTCTGTTGGAATGTTGAGAAAAATAGATGCTTACAAGCATGGTGTGGGTGGATAGCTTATTTCCGTTCCCTTCTTTTTGGCTTAAAAAAACTTCGTTGTTGTTTGTTTTGGTGGATAGGTTGACATATTAGGGGTGTGGTGGTTGTTGTCCCGGTACATCTGGAGGTATGTGTTGCGAAATACTTCCACGAGTCATATAGGGTTGGATTTATTCTTGTTTCTAGTTGAGATGGCCAGGTAGAAATACAGATGCGCCCCGGTGCATATACCAGGCGGTATTTGCATACATGACTTTAGAATTTTTTATCATCCTATGATCGTTTTTGTACTTTATGCCCACTTTACCGTGGTTTTTAATTTATTTATTGGCTTTAATTTATTTCCCAAATTATGTTTGTGACAAAATTTTGTTGAGTTGAGTTGAGTTATTTATATGAAATCATGGTTAAATTGATGCCTTTCAATATAAATGCGTGTTTGCAGGATGCACTTTCTAAGTTTTCTATTGAAAGCATGTTTTGCAATTATGATTTTGTATTAGAAAGCGTGGATTTAAACCACACATTCACACACACACACACAAAAAAATGAATTAAGTTAAAAGCCATGGTATAGAAAGAATAAAGCTAAAAAATGACGATAATTTAGTAATTGATTATGAGAATTTATGTAGCTAAAAGATGAAAGAAAGCTTTTTGCAGACTACCTCTTTATGACATAACATCTCTTTTGAAAAAGACCATGAGGAACACATCATGCTCCTAAGGGTAATGGTTGAGAAGTGTTGAGATTTGTAGTGACTTACAGGGATTCAGAAATAGCAAAGAGAGAGCAATGTGTTCCAAAAGTTTAGTAAATATTCAATACAATGGTAACACCATGTCATCGTTGACACTACGTATCATTATTCAGGTATTAATCAAAATTTGGATAAAGTTAACCCCACATATTATGTGAGTACAGTGAGTGTGTTAGACTGGTTAATGTTGGATTATGTGGGATTCACTTGCCCATGTTGGCATATTATTTGGTGGTGGTACTACATATCGATGATGACTTGGTATCACTGTATTAAAGAATAGTTACTCCCAAAAGCTGGCAAGTGCATTCTTTTTCAGTTGCCAAGTATGCTTAAATAAACCAATCTAGGAACATGAGTCTTGAAAGACCGTTAACAAAGTAGATTATCTTTTCCATATTAGCAATAATAGTGGATCTAAAGGGCGGGCCTTGGCGCAACCTATGAAATACGAACACTCTCAAGAAGGTGACGTATATATGTCCGACATGTATCAGACACTCTCGGACACGTATCCGATACTCTTTTATATATATCCATAATTAAATGATAAAATTTTAATTTTGGACACGTGTCCGAGAGTGTCTACTACTAAACAATAAACATGTGTTGAAATTTGATTAACAAAGTTTAAAATTTTGAGAAAAATGTAATTACTAACACTAGACATATTAAAATTGTACTCTAAGTATAATAATAAAAACAAAAGATACATAAAAGTTAAAAAAAGAGAAATTGAGAAAATGAGAGTAATTATTTAAATTATATATTAGGTACACGTTAATTGATGATCATTAACTATTATGATGATGTTTTAGTCTAAAAATTCACACTGATGAATACACATAAAATTTATTTATTATAAAATATTGAATCTTTTGTGAATTGCATATCATGATTCATTATCACTATATTTCTAATAAATTATATGTTATATATAAAATATAATTTTTTATAGCATATCCCTAATGTGTTCGTATCCTACTTTTTTTGAGAAATGGTGTATCTGCATGTCCGTATCGTGTCATACCCGTGTCTGTGTCTGTTACTTGGAGGTTACGAGATTGAGTTGCGGAAACAATCTCTCTGTTGCATGCAGGGTAAGGCTGTATACATCTGTCTCTTCCTAGACCCCTCAATGATGGGAGTCTCGTGCACTAGGTACGACCAATAACAGTGGATCTGGAAACTTGCCCCACAATCATGTTAGGAGCCCTACAATTAAAATGTATTACACAATTGAATAAGCTGTGTACACAGCTATATTTTCGTAGTTGTAAACTTCTCTGTGTAACTATGAATAAACCTTGCAAAAAGTTTGATATATCCATTATAATATTACTTTTAATGATTGTTGATACAGCATCGTAATGTGTTTTAACCACAATATTTTTCACGGATCCTACGACTCATTAATTTAGTCTGATAAGAAGTTAGAATAGTCCAAGCCGACTTCTCATTTCCAGGTTCTAACTCTGGGCTCTGTGTTTTAACTCCTGGGCATCACTATAAACTAAGCAGTTAAAATCATTCAAAATACATTAATGCAGCATCAGGCTTTGTCATCGCGAGGTTGAATATTCTACTGTTTCCTGGAATTTCTTTCTCTTAGGATTCTTAAGGTCAGTACTCTGTTGTTTTTTCCATACGATGCAATAAGTATCAATTGGTGATTTAATATCATTTGCGATGCAATAAGTTTTCTGTATTGTTACACATTGAGATCTATTTTGCAATGTGTCCCATGGTTTAACTAATGAAAGACTTTTTGATATGTTCAAATTTACTCTAAATTGTTCTCACGAGACCAACCTGGCGACCATTAGATTATGGTCGTAAGATTGTGGTTCTGAATAGTGGATAGAATAGAACAGCGGAACAGAATTTCTATAACTTGCCTTAGATTCTGATGGTGATTTGTGTATTGTAACATACAAGCATACATATTGAGATTCTCCTTTTTGAATTTCTTAAATCAGATGTGACAAGTTCAAAGTGTTTCATAGACCACTGATGAGAGAGGTGCACATTGACTTTATGGTAAAAATAGGCCAATGACTGTAGCCAAGGCTCTTGATTTATTTCAATTTTTTACTTTCTGTATCTGGTGCTTTTAAGTAGGTGGTGTGAAAGAGGGAGAGAGAAGAGAGGAGATGCGAGCAACAGGGATAATGAGAGTGGAAAACAGAGGAAGTTTAAAAAAATGCGGGATCTTGATTTCATATCTGGATAATTAATACTGAAATAGGGGTGATCTCCTTAAACTCATTCACTTGTGTATGTCCATGACCCTTGTGAATCTAGGTCTTTTCTCCTTGGTAAGAACTACTGAGAACGTACGTACGGCAGAATGAAAACAGGAACCAGTGAGAGTAATTCCTTCCATGTGAGGTTGGCTTCCTCAATTAGATTATGTTATGAAAAAACATTGATCTGCTCTCAGCCTGATGCCGACCTCTAAGACATGATCCCATGTATATGATTGCCCAGCTATTGGCAACAACAAAAGGCTTTCCAAGAACGTAGTTCTAGCTAACATCAGTTGGTAGTCGGGTAAACTTAACAGAACATTGAGTTTAAATTTAGCTTATCTGAGAAGAAAATGTTGAGTTCCAATTTATGCTGTGAAATTTTAAGGGTTATTTAAATTTTAATTTTGTTTCATACTTTCTCGTCAAGAATTAATTACTGGATTGAATACTCACATCACAGAGTTATTTTTATTATAACTGTAGATGAATATCCTCTTGTTTCTTTCTTTTTGTTTTTCTTTTTGGCATGCCCCTTTAGGCTTCACATACTTCATTGCTCATTACTGTTTTGCAGAGACCATTGGTCCAGCTGATGTTGGTCTGAAAGAGGAAAATCAAGAGGATGATAGAGGTCATGGCATTTTTGGATTTAATCTACTTAATAGGGTAGACCGATGGGCTCAACCAATAACTTATTTGGATATACACGACTGTGGTAGTTTCACGGTAAGCCCAACTACTTCTTTATTGGTTGTTTGCAATAACATTTTCTTTAAGCATTTACTTGGGACTGATCGAAAAAACAATTTTCGGAATCATCAAAACCATTTTTGGGTTGACGTAACAGTCTTTGGGTAAAAAACCCTTCACTTTGGATTGCTCTCTATTCAAAGGATTTCATGTAGGAGTATTTAAGAACTTGTGTAGGATTGTTGGCCCTCTGCTTTGTAAATTTATGCCTTTGTTTCTTATTCGTACAAATTGTGTAGGTGTGCACTCAAACTCCTTATATTTTGAGCATTCTTGTATGATTTTCAAACTTGAAATCAATGTGGAAACATTGAATATTGAGTCATTCAAGCTGTTTCACCAAAATTTCATACCTGTGACAACGTGTATGATTGTTAAGCAGATGTGTATATTTTGCTTCCCCACTTCCTCGGTTATTCCACTCCATGATCATCCTGGGATGACTGTTTTGAGCAAAGTTCTCTATGGCTCCTTGCACGTGAAATCTTATGATTGGGTTGAGCCTGCCTGTGTAAAGAAAACCAAGGGCACAGGTCCCTCTCCAGGTTTGATTCTAAACTGTTCTGAATGTGATGATTTAGGAGCATCTTAGACTTGCAAAACTGAGAGGCAATCCTTGCTCCCCCCCGCCCCCCCCCAAAAAAAAAAAAA